TTCATTCATTCATCCCATACATCCGAAGCATCGCATATGCAGTCAATGCGTCTCAACGCTTCATGTTGCGTCACAAAGCGGTAGTTGTCTCATTCAACATGAGCAACGACCGAACGAGGTTCGAAGGCCAGCCCACGAAGGGCTCGAGGTCACCTCGCGTCAAACAGAGCCAGGGGAGAAAACGTAGATGAGCCCTGAGTGGCCCTCGTCCAGTTTGCTCCGAAGCAGACAGGGTCATCTCAACCTTCTCGTTCGATCCTAAGCCTCGAGCCATGCCCACAGAATCTCCATCGAGGGGAGGCCAGCGGGCCACCTGGGTCGGTCTCTAGAATGACCCAGGCATCTGCCAGGACACGTGCTAAGGAACAGTGGAATGTCAAATGAGGGCTATGCCGACCTCATCACGAACGATGGACCCGGATTTCACTCGAACGTGCCAGTTAGTGAGCTCACCGAGCGCGTCACTCGAGCCATTGAGGCAAGAGATGTTAGCTCAGCCCCTCCGGTTATGGAAACCGCGGATGGGGTAATGCACAAAACAAACCCCTACCGAGCCCAATGAGGCTCAAAGCCTCGGCCGTGCCCGACGCTGGATCCGCGAGTCCGTCTCGCACCGATCCCTAAACTACCTCGGCTGCGCCCGACGCTAGGATCCACGAGTTCGTCTCGCCCGATCTAAAAACTGCCTCGGCCATGTCCGACGCCTGGGTCCATGAGCCCGTCTCGCCCGATCCCTAAACCACCTCAGCTGCGCCCGACGGGTCCGTGAGTCCATCTCGCCCGATCCCTCGGCTGCGCCGACGCCTAGGTCCGCGAGCCCATCTCGCACGATCCCTAAACCGCCTCGGCTATGCCTGACGGGTCCGCGAGTCTGTTTCGCCCGATCCCTCGGCTGCGTCCGATGCCTGGGTCCGCGAGCCCATCTCGCCCGATCCCTAAACCGCCTTGGCTAACTGCCTTGGCTACACGCCCACTGACAAAAAACCCCAGGCGATTCTGCCCGAATCACTTGGGGGCTACACCTGCGGGTGCGCTCGCATGCACCCGCTGTCGGAACAAAAATTCCCCCACTGACAAAGCGAATAACCCCCGGGCGATTCTACCCGAATCACCCGGGGGCTACACCCATGGGTGCGCTCGCGCGCACCCACCATCAAGACAAAAATCCCCCAGACGATTCTACCCGAATCACCCGAGGGCTCGGGGGCTCCTGTCGGGTTCATAAACCTGGGTCCCTCATGGATCTGCTTTCCAGCAAAGGCTCGACCCAGCAGATGGGATTGCGAACGACACGCAACTCCTGTGCCGGCCCAAATACCTAAACGACAGGCCAGAAGGGCGATCCAACCTCCGACCGGAAGGCCTGACCAAAAGGAACGACACCCGCTTCCAACTCCGACCCGCCTCTCCGACCGGAAGACCTAGCCGAGGAGGAACAACGCTCGCTTCCGACTCCGGCCCGTCTCTCCGACCGGAAGGCCTGGCTCGTTTCCGACTCCGACTCGTCTCTCCGACCGGAGGCCTGGCCAAACGCCGCTTCTAGCTCCAACCCGCGTCTCCGACCGGGGATACACCGAACCTCTGCTTACATCTCTTCTCCAACTGGCGCAGTCGGAGCTGACTGGGGACCAACCGACCGGAGATGCCCGCTCGGTAAGGACCCAGGCAACGGGCAGAGCAAGTAAGACAGGGCACTCAAGTCAACCACGATACCAAGAACCGAACCCTATACACCTGCAGGACAGTACCGACAGAACATGACATGTCAGAAGGGTGCCCTGCAACCTTCCAGGCATGTCAGAACCCAAGTAGTGTTGTGGGCGCCAACGTTCTGCCCTACAGTGTTATGGGGCCATCAATTCCCATACCAGGCGAACACGGTAAGACTCCCCACATGTCTCTGGGCATCAACAGTGTTGTGGGCGCCGACATTTACCATACCCGGTAGAACACGGTAAAACCTCCCACATACATATGACATCAACAATATTGTGGGCGCCTACAATCATCTTGTACCCAACGGCGTGGGCAACAAGACTCAGTAGCATACGTACTCTCTATCTCTCTTGTAAACCCGTTTCCTTCATCTATAAAAGGGGATGCGCTCCCTCCTAAGGGGGGATCAACTCACTCACATCGATTCACCCCCTGCTAGCTTTAGACACTCTAAAGCTACACAGAGCGCACGCTCGAATACTTAGCGCACGTAGGAGCTCCCGTCACTCTCGGCTCTTCAGTCCAGAGTCCGACCGGACCTCTTGTACTCCCATCTTACTCCCATCCGTTTGTAATCCTACTGTAAACTTCGAGCATCTGGGCTCAGGAATAAAGTCACCGACCGACTCAAACTGGACGTAGGGCACGTTGCCTGAACCAGTATAAACCCTGTGTCATTGAGTGCTAGGCCACATCCGATCACAACGTACGGCAAAACTATAAATATTTACGTGTTGGTCACTTTCTGCACCGACAGTACTGCGTAGAAAGGTTACTTGCAAACCCCATCTTTCTTTGTCGCCTTTTCATCAAGCTTTGGTGGACGATGAACAATCGAACAAAGAAGACGATCAAATCCTCTTTGATGTGATCTTATTTTTTAGAGGTTGTTTGGTGTCAGTTTTTTTTATCATATATTGTTTTCCTTCATTTTGTTTTCAAATGAGCTGCCACTTGGCCTGGCTTGGTGTATTTTTGTCAACCCAATTTAATACACAGTTTTTAGCTCCTTTTATAGTTAGGTCTTGTTTAGTTGGCGAAACTTTTTGGAAAATGGTACAGTAGCATTTTCGTTGTTATTTGGCAATTAGTGTCCAATCATAGTTTAATTAGGCTTAAAAGATTCGTCTCGTGAATTTCGTCTAAACTGTGTAATTAATTTTATTTTTTATTTATATTTAATGCTTTATGCATGCGTCCAAAAATTTGATGTGACAAGAAATCTTGAAAAATTTTACAAAATTTTAGGACCTGAACACTTGACCGAAGTACGCAGTTGGATAAAGTAAGCTAGCTCGCGGGGCTACAAAGGTAGCAGAACACGTACAAGGCATCTTGGCGTGGAATGTAGCTATCTCATGAGCGCCAAACCAAGCTGGCTTCTTCACATCAGACCCAAGTACCATCACGAGACTATGTTCTTTCTGTTGAAGAGACCAAGTACATATAAAGCGATCGGGCTCTGTTTGTTTGAACTTATTAGTCGGCTCTCACAATAAAATAGTTTTAGTCGGTTTATGTATCAGTCGAACAGCGCTCAAATATCTTGCTGGTTTCACCTATTTAGCCGTTGGTTGTAAGGTTTTCAAGTATGATTGGTGCTGATTTTTTACACAATCTGCTAAAAACTGTTGTTTAGAAGGGAAAAAGGAGATTTGGTCGAACCTAATACTCAAGAATTCAAACAAGCATCTTGTCTTAGGATGGATGCAACTCCGCAAAATCTGCATACAACATGCTACGTATGGGTTCTACTCCGTCCTCCATTCCATACGCATAACTTGATTTGGAAGACCTGGGCTCCCTCACAGGTAAAAATCTTCCTTTGGTTGGCATTCCAATGCAGGCATTGGACAGGAGATAGGCAAGCAAGGCATGGCCTGAAGGCGAGGGAGCGTTATTTCCTTTGCGACCAAGCACGGAAACACAATTGATCACATCGTCGCCACATGCCCATTCACCAGGGAGCTTTGGCATTGTATTGTATCCTACAAGTCCTCGGCCGCCACCTCTCCCCCAGGCAGTAGCGATGACCTTGCGCTGGTGGCGGTGGCTACGTTCTCTCTATGATGGTCACCAACGTTCGGGCATGGACTCCCTATTCACGTTGGTTTCTTAGGCAAGTTTGGAATGAGCGGAATGCCGGATACTTCCGAGTAGCGTCTGCTACGGTGAGCGACCTAGGCTGTGTTTAGTTGGGTTAAACTTGAAAATTTGGTTACTGTAGCACTTTGTTTTTTATTTGGTAAAATTATAGACTAATTAGGCTTCAAACGTTCGTCTCGCGATTTCCAACTAAACTGTGCAATTAATTTTTTTTCGTCTACATTTAATGCTCCATACACGTATCACAAGATTCAATGTGATCACTACTGTAGCACTTTTTGGGAATTTGATTTTGGGACTAAACGTGGCCTGCTTCAGATCGTCAAGGCCGAGGTCGATCGTTGGATAGAAGCTGGTGCGAGCGGGCTTGGAGCCTTTGCTGGTAGGTAGCTGCGGTAGGAATCAAGCTGGATTCTAGGCTGTTCAATATAAAAAAATGTAGCTCCTAATGTATCCCAGCGTGTCTGGCATCTGTATTTCTTGTAAGATAAGCTCTCTTTTTAATACAAAATGAAATGATATGCAACGCCAGTGCATGTTCCAGAAAAAAAAAGAGTTCAAACAGGCCGGTTCCATAGGATACATTTATTTTAATTTTATATGTGTGTTTTTTTTTCAGTGAATAATTTTTATATGTAGGGTTATTATTAGCCGGCCGGTTCTACACGTCGAAACCTGCGAGCGGTACAGGACAGGTACTGCACCTCCATGGGCCGCACATCACATCCCTGTTCCTCGGCCTCTCCCTGCCAGTCCCACCGGCCCACCCGCCTGCCTGACGCGCCCTCCAGCGCCGCCCGCGGGCCGCGGCCACTCGCGTGTACGTACTACGCTGGAACTGGATGCGGCTGGGCCTCGCCGTCCGGCGGTGCAGGTGCAGCCAACTGACCTGACAGAACCTGTCCTCCTCTCTTTCTCTCTCTCTCTATTGCTGGGATGCAATGCAAGACGACGATGCGATGCAGGTCTCCTCAACAGCAAGAATCAGCCGTCCGTGACTCATGTCATGGCATGGTAATTTTTTTTCTATGCTTGCGATTAACTTTTCAAGCCAGGCCCAAGGGAGTAACTAAGCTGGTGGGCCGACGGCTGGACCGGGCCCCCACATCCAATTTGCTTGATTTCGCCGAGCAGACAGATCGGATCGGGTCCTCCGCCGGAGCCGGCGACGAACAAGCATGGTGAAGGCGGTGGTCGGCGACGAGGCGCACCTCAAGGCCTTCGAGGAAACGCTCGCCTCCTCCTCCTCCTCTCCTCCACCTCAAGCCCAGGTCGTCCACTCCCTTCCCTTCCCTTCCCTTCCTTCCGTTGCGTACTTGCGGCTCCCTCCCTCTCATCGATCCATCGCGAGACACCCTCTGATCTGGTTTCATCTGTTAATTCCCAGGTGGGCCTCGTCGTTGGCAAGCTCAGCGCATCCTCCGACCGTGCCCTCGTCTACGCCCTGCTCCCCACGCCGCTCACCGACGCCGCCGCACCCGCATGCTCCCTCCGCGCCGCCCCCAAGTCCAAGCCTTCCAAGGGCGGCGGCAGAGGCTCTTCCTCCTCCTCCTCCTCCTCGGACGCCTCTCTCGACTTCGATGTCGAATGGATCGCCGAGCACGCGCGGCAGGTACTGTACTATACGCTCCCTCCCATGCCCACGCGCACACCATCAATTCTTATTCTTCAGCAATTTCTTTCACACTATTTCATGCATGGTTTTAGGTGTCTAGGATGCTGCTCGGTGGTATGAGTGTCGTAGGTGCTTACGTATGGGCTTCCGAGGCATCATTCAAGGCCACATCCCCTGCTGTATTATCGCAGGTTAGCACTGTCAGCTTCTTCGTTTCATTGGTTCCCCCCTTATGCTAATGCTATGGTTCAGGATCAATCAACCGGTGGCTCTTCCTTCAGCTGCCAGGCTCCGCTTGCTCATACCATGCTTCCGAAGGCTTGGATGTGAATTGTTTACCTGTGTCATGCCATCTTTCAGGTTATTCGAGCGATTTCCCAAGCCTGCTATGGCAGTGCATCCGGTGAGAGGCTGCTCATCCACATTTCTTACAGTCCTCGAAGGTGCTGCCTTATCTTCCTACATGTTAATTAACTTTTGCGCTCTTCTTCTCAAAATAAGATATGTTTGTTTGTCCACTGCTCATCTGCGTAGCAGTTTAAGTACTTGATTAAATTGGCGTTTGATGCTTACTTCTGCTATAAATGAATGAAAATTCCATGTATGTATATCCGCTGTCCTTTTGGATATCAACAGGAAGTATTTTTCCCCCTTTGAAATCTTGTTTCTGGCTGCGATTTATTTATGAAATATATATTTTCATGTGTTACAGATGGGCCTGTCGTATATGCGAGGTTGCATCAGCAAGTCTGCGTCCGTGTGATTTTAAATACAGCAAACTATTATCTTCTCTTCAAACTTTCAGATGCACATATAATTTTGAGATAAGGTACTAAATTTAGCATTTCTTGTATCTTTATGACACACACAGACAATACCAGTTTATCTGGTTTGAGTCTCTAATTACTACACTTGTTGGCATAGGCTAACATCTGTTCAAGCTGAGCCATTTAAGAAAGTTATTTTGAAGGCAATCAGTCATCTCACAGAGGAAGTGCAGAATGCCAGAGCTTTGGTCAATGGGCTTCTGGTAAGTTATGATTCTTAGCCTCTATTGCAGATCTGCAGTTGGAGAAGTACACAGATGCCAATGCCACAAACTTAGGAATGCTCATCACCTAGATGAACACGGGCGGCTAGTTCCATGTAGTTTAAAAGGTTTTGTTGACTTTCGTAGACCTGCTCTCGGAAACTCTAAGGTCAAACTGATTCACTTCATATGACAATCAGCAATCTAATAAAGGGCACGTACCCAGTGCTGCCACACATGGTGCGTTCTAGGGAAATGAATTTCTGAATTGAATTGAAGTTCTAATAGGCAATTCTTGAAGTGGACTGTCCATTACATAAAATAATATTCCATATAAATTATGCCGTTCCCTTTAACCCATTGCCGATAATTCATCATATCATATTATGTAAGAACATCTAACGTCTGCACTCGAAATAATAAGATAAAATTTATTAACTGAATGAGCCATAGCATAAAAGGCACAAAAAAGGTTACCCGTTCACACCTTTTTCTTCTTCTGTAGCTTCCAGCTTCTAGGAGCCACTGGTATACATGCTTATTAGTTCAACACTCAACTAATTAGAAACAGAGTTGCTGATTATATTTGAGAATGCTGCTCCTTCTACAACAGCTTGCTAATTATGCATTTTTGCACCTACTTTTTCCAAGCAGTTTTCAGAAGACATGAACATTAGTACAGAGGACCCACACCAAGTTGATTTTCTTGTGCCATTCAATAATGATGTGCCTGTTGAAGGTGTGCCTCAGCTAATGCCATTTCCTGTTCTGTTTGATGGCACATTTCTGTTGATGTCGTTACGAGGGCCTAACATTGTACGGTTGCACTAAAGAATGCAGTTTAGAGGGAGTTGCTGGGCTTATTCGCTTTGTTGGATCTGTCAGCGCCTTGGCGTATTTAGGCCCGAAAGAATCTATTTCAGAAGCTATATCTGATCTAAAGGTAGTTAAAATATCATTCTCTACTGTTTTGTCTTTTTCACCTAGTTGCATTGTTTTCCATGATGTGTGCATACGTAGTACCAGTTCCAGTTTGTTACAAGTGCTGTACAGGCCGTTGTCTTTGGCAAATCTACTTCCATTTGTTTTGAGTTCTCCTGATAAGAGTTCGGAAGGGATTGTTGATGCATTGGTGATCAAAACATGACATGATTTTCGGGGGGTTTCAGTTGAATAATCTCAAGATTCTTGTTCGAAATTAGTTTGATTTGATTCAGTACATATGATATATATTTTTTTAAAGGAGATTTACTCTGCTTTTCAGAAAGCAATAAAGGGTCTTACACGCTGGGGATACCAGCTACCATTCAGAACATATGATATTTTTATTTGACTACATATATGTTGTAGAGTGGGCATTGATTTGACTGATGTAGATTCTGGCGGAGGCAGAAGTTTAATTTGGCTCGCACTATTGCATAAGCATAGCTGAAGCCGATTCTTGTTTGAAGCATCATTTTAGTTATGAAAACTAACAACTTTTTGTATGGGCTGCTTCTCTTACTCCGTATCTAGGCAGACATCATTACAAGTCTAAAAAGCAGGTTGGATATAATCCTTGATGAGGCAGATGATGGCCCTGCCACTGATGAATTGGAAAAATCACCATCTCAGAAGGCTACTCAAGTTATATTTCATGAGTTGAGGTACATATGCTGTAGATAGCCTTTATTATACGTTGAAAAGATTTTTGTTTTAAGTCTGGCTCGTTGATTAATGAATGCTGTAGAACGTATTTAGTCATTGCATAATGACATTATTGTATTGAGCTTAACATGCTTCCTTTCCTCTCTTGATGATAGACAACAAGTCTCACAGCTGACTATCCGTTTTCCCCTTCAAACAGAGAACCTTATAGTTTCTCATTCCCAAGAAGAGTTCTGATACCTTGGTTGAGTGGCACCTATGTTTGTGATTACTTGCAACAATCAGAGACAGCAGAGGTAGTTTTGCAGTGCCCACAACATTTCATTTCCTCTCCTTGAGTCCTACTTGAGTGGAACTGTGTAGCATTCTCAATCCTGCTAAAACACTTGACACCCTTTTGGCTTACATGACTTTCAGGATGCTTTGGATCGCTGCAAGGAAGTGATAGCATTGGAAACAGCCGTGGAGAGCTCTTCAATCCTGGAATCAGAAAGTGCAGCACCTTGTAGCACACTAGAATCCTTTTGGGATATGGTGCCTGGATCTCGCAGCGGAGGACAAGGTGGATCCAGCAAGCTGAAGGACAGTCATTCTGTACAGAACGATGATTCAAGCAAAAGACAAGGTGGTGGGAATTTCAACATCGTAGCTGCTCTGATCGTGCTACTGGTTGCTCTGATAGCTGGATTGGTATTCTCACACTGCTGGTTCCAATACCTGAACCCACCTGCACTATAACTGTGTTGTACCACCAGTAGATGAGATACCAAAGATGTTAGAAACTGTTGAAATGGAGAGTTGAATTTATTTTACGTTAGAAACTGTGTTTACATATTTTTTTAATGTCCTGTTGCCCTTGTTTGCAGCTAAGCTAAATGTGCTTACTCGCTAAATGTCGATAGGACTATATACTTATCTTCTCTGTTGTGCCTGCCTGAGAATGAATCCTATCTGTCTAGGCTGCCAATTGGATTTCCCCGTCCAATTGAAGACAGTTGAAAGGTTTGGTTTAAGGCAATGATTGATGCCGCAACGCGTGACAGTTTTTTTCCTTTTTGCTTAGACTACCTACAGCCATCACCTTTTCTTTTGTTCAACGAGATCCAACTGAAAACAAATTTGCATGAAAAATGAACCGAACAAGGAAATGAAACAAGCAAATCTGATCGACGGCCGCCTATTTGGATCCTGGCACCATGGTCCATGGCGACGCTGCCTGGCTCAGGCGCGAGGCACCTCTCCCAGATTCCCATCCCACACGGCGAACCAAACGATCCCATAAATCCAAGGTCCGCCTTGGGCCCTTGGTCATGTTACTCTGCACTGCATCGCTGCAAAAAATCAGCCTGAGCAAACATACATCATTGTACACACCACATATGTTCCCCTGTCACACCAATCGGTGACTGGATCTGTTTACATACAATACAATCCACAATGTTAGTAGTTAGTACAGCTCGTCTCTTATACTGTTTAGAAACAATCTGAGCTCCCTCGCTTTCCTCTCGTGTTCTGGAGACTGACTGCTATCAGCCTCACAGTCCTGGTCAGGCTTCTTACCATTCCTTCTACTCTTATCCACTTTAACCGGTGAAGGTGAAGAGAGATCGATCATGGTGGGTTCTACTACTTCACTACTCTGTCCATCGCTTCTCTGTGACGAATCAGCTTCGCCTGCTGTCCCAGTCCCATGCCTGAACAATGGTGATTCTTCCACCTGCACATCAAAGCCACCTGTTCCAGGTTCAAGCTTGCAACAGGAGGGTTCTTTCTCTGGCAAATTGCTTATATCCCAGAGGGCTCTTCTTTCTGCTTCCATACACAGTGGTGGTCCTTCTGGAGCTGCCTGGGGTTTATGAGCAGCGCAAGGTGAGGGTGATGACAGATCAATTGGCTCATGATCCAGTGCTGAATTCTTCACGTCGCACAAAACAGTATTTTTTTTTGACTCCATTGATCCAATCGACAGACTTGGGCGCTGCAGATCAATCCCATCCATGGTTACTGCATCTGAATCACTGAACTTTCTGGATCTGGCAATCTTACAAGATCGTACAGGTGGTGATGGAGAAGACAGATCAACAAAATCCTGGAGCGGTGCCACCATCTGTATATCTGCTGTCTGAGTCTGAGGGCCATTGGCTGTACATGGAAAGGTACTGCTTTCAGATTCAATTTCAAGTAGCAATTCTTGGAGCTGCGCATCCACGTCTTTTACGGCAGCAGCAGCTTGACCTGATTTCTTTGGCCTAGCTCTCCTCTTTTGCTTCTTCTGAGCATCCTTGTTTTCCAAAAAATCAGTTATTTTTTCTGGGCAAGCACTGCAATTGCATAGGTGACAGGTAAGGCATGTCAAATTTCCCATAGATAAAATACAAATCCAGATGAAAATTTATGTTAGCTAAAGCATCACATCAGCCAAGGCAACTGATTCCATATCAAATGGAATCCAACTAGCAAATTAGGCTTCTACAATAATGACTTTTGTTCCTCTCCTGTATATTATCATAGAACTTCATTATAGAAATCAGCCACAATGGGTATTGTACATGCTTTTTGTCTCTAAAATTTACTGAAATACACCATTTAATGTTTTCTGATCATAGTTAGAATTTGTACATGTCACGTCCACAAATAATGCTCTGCAATAGAAACATGTGATGTTCTACTTCACATATTGATTTGATTTTGAAAGGTGAGTCCAGTCTGTGAAACACCACTTACGAAGGACTATGGGAGGAGGAAAAGTGTAATTACCTTCTAACAAGATCCCCTGGAACAACTGAAACTTGGAGCCCATCTATGTTTCTCCATGAAACCTCATAATATTCATTTCCTTGAACTTTTCGCTGCTTCACAATCGCCAGTACAGGGCATGGCACTGGCATCTGAAAATTAGATAATCAGACTTGAAAAGTAGATGTCATATGATCAATTCAGAAATGCACTCAGAAATCAAAGCCTACCTCATCCAGTGAAGGTTTTATTCCTAGATCTGAAGACGTGGAGCGGAGATTTGAAAACCTTCGAAGTTCTCTCTCAGCAATCTTTGGAAGGATATATTCATCTGCAGACATGTTTTTAAGGAAATAACTCAGGGAGTTCTCTCATGTACACAAATCTGATAAAACCAAGCATAACAATTAGGGATTTAGAAGGTACCAGTTTTCACAGGGCTCCACTCAAAGTATTGCTCACATATCTGTTGCAGCTGTGACCGAAGAAATGGCTGCTGGCTGCATGCCCTGGAGACAGAATGAACACTTAACATCAACCAATAAGCCAACTAGACCAGCATTTGACAACCTGGCTCATTCCTACTAGTCATTCCAGAGAGTAGGAAAGATGGAAGCCAACCTCTGCACGGCTTCTGAATCTGGCGAATGACATTTTGGCTCCAGATATGCATTTATTATGTCACGAAATTGACCACCAGAATCTTGGTTAATCCCAACCTCTGTAACGAAAAAACAAGCTATGAACAGCAAATTTCCAATTCTATGTTCACTGTGCTGGCGAAGAAGTGTGATGTAGCTAAATAGCTGGAGAAAACTACAAAAAGATTGCTTACCACAGGTACTTGCTTTTGGGCACGTTCCACCAACCCTCCCAGCATTGGCGCCACTATTTTTTCCTTTACATTTTCTTGTAGGTTTAACTCCATCGGACAAAATTTGATCAAGAATGGCATCATCCCCCACAGACTTAACAAGGCGGCATGCTAATTCCTGTAACGATTATAGACAAAATTACAAGAAAAAAGAAAACAGTGATAAGCTTCATTACTTTGATTTTATGATTACGTATGGAGTTGTGGACAGTAAACAAAACAAAACAAAACAAAACAGTTGCAATACAGTTAGTATAAGACACTACTAAATAATAAGTATTGCTGGGTCAAAAGTCCACACGTGCTGTCTGTGACTTTTGGTACTTACCGGGCCAAAGCCATGGACTCCATTAGAATAGTCACTACCAAGAAGAACTGCAAGGGATATCTGACAAGATTATGAAAGTTGAAAGAAAGAAGTCATAAATTATGCAGTCTTGCAAACAAAATTAGGAAACACCATGAGAAAGACTATATTAGTCAGAAGCAAAGAATAATTTAAATGAACAGGTAAAGGCAAGGGAGCAAAAAATAATGAGAAGACTTTAAGTTGAGTCAGATAGAGTGATGTTGTTATTGCATATTCATTTCAGGGTCAAGCAGATTGGGAGATGAGTTATCTACTTATGTTGATTAGATAACTTCCAATAACCTTCAGTTCAAACCAAGCAACAAATGCAAGGTTGCACTACTATTCACTGGAAGATTCTTCTACCGTCAGATACTACAACTTAACTGGTACTTACTTTCACACTGTAATTAGAAAGGGCAACCAAAAATTTGATTTGCTGTCTCTCTCAAAGACAAAATGATTTTTTTTTCTGGTAACTCAAGGCGGGCACTTAATTTTTCTGTATTCCTAGATACGGCATTGGATGGAACTTCTCAATGATGGTTAAGAAGATATACCATAAGTTTAGCTGAAGCAGGAAAAATCATGCAACGTACCAGTGAGTTCCTGCCGAAACCAAGCTTCTTCTGAATGTCTTCCATTTCATAGCAAATTACATAACCACCCTCTCCTGATCAGAGAGAGCGAGCATAAGCAAATCACTAGGGTCTAGGCTACATAAATAAGGCACTTCCTAGTATAAAAATGAGGGCAGATAATGCATATAATATAAGACTTCTTAGCATGATTAACGAAGTAGAGCAATAAGGCTCAGAAAACAGCTATTACCTATGAAAACATCTCTATAAACTGTCCTTGCACCAAACAGGAATGAATCTGAATCCGATGTAAAACAGCCATCCTGAAACAGAATAGATGGTACATCAGAAACATGCGCCTATTGTTGGTTTCATTAGCATCATGACACAGCATTGTACTTACACACAAGGAGGCAAAATTAAGCAATGCACACTGTGCCTCTGCTTCTTCCACACTATTAAAGAACAGAGCGGTTAAACAAAGAGGCAGGGTTAGTCATGTGGCCATGGCATTACTGATTTACTGGTAGATGTGCTACTTAAAGTAGAGTTTTCTTGGAGCAGAGAGAAGTAGTACCCATCCAAGCAAGGGATGCCAAGGGCCAACCCGAGATGCTTGGCTTCTTTGATCATGCGTGAGAACTCTGAGCTCTTGTTCCGGCGCAAAGAAGTCAGAGGTTGTGAGTTGGCCTCCTCTCGAGTAGCCTGGGGTGAAATTGATTCCAAAGGAGAATTTAAATGACTGGGGGTTAAGAAAAATTTAGGGGGACAGAGCATCAGCAGCAACCTCAGCAGCATTTAATCCCAGGCGGCGCCTATAAGTAGCCAATTTGACTGAAGGAATCGCCCCATCTGAAGGCAAGAGCGAGAAATGAAGAAATTTTAGGCTGATTTGTTATTTGATTCAACACGGCCATTAGGCATTGCCATTTCATTTCGGGTCCAAAAAGAAACGAAAAAATAAAGAGAAACCTGAGACAAAGACGAGGCTGCAGTTGAGGGCGAGGAGGGCTCGGATGCGGTGGAAGAGGTTCTTGAGGTAGACCTTGTCCCTGAGGAAGGCCGGGGAGCGGTTGGCGCTGCAGAACTGCACGAGCCAGCAGGAAAGATCCACGCACACCTTCTTGTTCCTGACTCCAGCACAATTCATATGAAGAGGGGGATTGGAGGCGGCAGATGAGGGAGAATCCGCAGCCAGGGTTTGGGGTTTGGGAAGGGGATGGGGATACAGATACAGTGGGAGCAGACTGCTGATCTACTTACTGGAGGTGCTGGAGCGGGAGCTTCTTCTTGCAGGAGTCGAGGATGTCCCAGAGGTTCTTCACCCCCATCGCCGCCGCTGCAGCTGGAGGTCGCCTGAGCCGGAGAAGCCAAGAAGCCCCTAACGGAAAACAGCCACTGCCGGAGGGTCGCGAATTCCTTTGCTTTTGTGGGAGCGAACGGGACCAAATTTCAATTGCGTTCAAATACGCTTTTACACCCTGATTGCGGAAATGAGTCAATGGCGCTATTGGAGTCAATTTACTCGCCAAAGAATTCCTTATCTACCATTGAAATATATTACTCGATGGTTTTTTTTTCTTTTGGAATTAGAGCATCTTCAGCAGTCCCTCTTTCCTAGCCCCTCATGAGAAAAACTGTTATTTTGAAGATCTTGTAGCTCTATTAGTTCTCCAAACCCAACCCCAATGAGAATTTTCTTTTCTCAGTCCCTCGAATCATAACCTCCCACCCCTCAAATAAAGAGGAGACCTCTCCTCCCCTCCCCTGATCCACTATTTTTCTCATTAGGGATTGGATTTTCTCGTTCTCTTGAGAGAAGACCTTCAAAATCTCAAGACACTTTTTGTATCTCTCCCAATAACTAGTTTTTGGATTTGAGTTTTCTCCTACTGCCGGAGATGCCCTTATATTACTTGATGGTTGATGCCTCATTTGTCACCGAGAAGTAAACTCCATAAACATAGAGAGACATACATTCAATACATAGAGATTGAGATCACAAGTTCACCATGAATACATGGTCAATAGATGTCATAAGGTGATCGTTGGTACATAGACAAGTCATATAAATCAACAAAAGGTCTCTAAAATAAACATGCATGCCACACGCCCAGTAAATTAGGTTCAAAACAAGCTAAAATAAATATTTGAACACATCACAGATTGCATTAAGTTCATAAAGTAAGCCTTCTCTTGCTCCTAGCTTATTGTGCATGGATAGCAGGAACCTCTTCTTGCTTCTTGTGCTCACACAGGGCTATCGAGAAACATTGGAAGCAGCTTATTTTCATTGACTTCAGCTTGTGTTTTCCCTCTACACTTGGTTGTTCCTGCTTGTTTCTTCTCTTTAGTCCTGTTTGCAACAACTTTTTCCTTTCCTTTAGGCTTGATTGCAGTTGCAGCAACTACATGATCAACAATTTGTTGGCCTAAAACACATTTCTCAATAGGAATGGTGTCGTGGGTTCGTAACCATGGCTAGTGATTAGTAGATCGATTAGTGGGTCGATGTGTGGGGGCTTCGGTGGTTAACACTCAAGGCACAAAGGGTTTATTCTGATCCGGGGCTTGAAGCCCTACGTCCAATAAGTGAGTTTTTCGTGTTAGAGTGCTCAAGCGAGTTCTCACAACGAGAGAGAGACGGTACACTAAGCTAGTTTTGATTTGGGGTGTTTTGGGATTCGTTGTCCCTTTCTACAGGGCCTTGCCCTGCCTTATATCTCGGAAGATGAGGGGTGAATAAGGAGTTGGGTATCGTGGTTTCCTTGGCTACCAAGGAAGCTCTAAGGTTTCGCATTCTTGATCTTGGAGTCGTTGGGGGCGTCCGACGCTCCATCCTTCGTGGTCGATAGCCCAGAATCGTCTCTACATCGTCTGCGAGGATCAGGAGCAGGGGGGCCAGGAATAGGTGCTACCGTTGTATCTACCCTAGTCCGTCTTTCTATTGTCGTTCGTCACACATGCCAACAAAGAAGAGCCTTCCCAGGAGAGACTGACACGACTTCCCGTGCCTCCGTCTCCTCCTTTGTGCCGAGAGGTCACGCGCTCCATCTGATCGTGTTATGTCAAGCCCTGGCCATGATCCCTTCGTCCCAAGTGGCCGACAACGCTCACGGGGGTGAGGAAACAGCGCCATAGTTACCAGGACCATGAGCTCTACGGTTCTGTTGGTGTGTGAGGATCCTGACGTCTATCGAGGTCTGGTAGGAGACTCCCAAGTCGCCGTAGATGAAGGGTTGGTCGGGACGATGGGGTATGGGCCCGACGCTACCATGCCACCTTTGGTTAGTCCCGAACATCGACGCCGAGACCTCAGGAAACCTGGATCGAGCTCCTCGAGAGCCCTCAGGTTCTCGAGCAAGGGACGTGTTCGCCAGTCCGACCAAAGACGTCCTCCACGATTGATGAGGTTGCCCGTTGATCAGGTTGTCTTGGGCCTAGTGGGCCTTTTCTCGGTATCCAGCGGGGAAATCAGTCAGGGGTTAATCATATTGTTACGATGCTGATCCAAGGGTTTAAGTACCCCTTTGTTATGTATTCATCAAATGGCCTATGGTAGATTAATTATAGCTACTCCTTTAGGATGGATTTGAGCCCCGGGCTATAGGGGGCTGCAGCCCGAGACAAACCCAAGAAAAGCAAATAGCACCCGCCCTCAACTTAGTCTAGCTATAACCCATAAGAAAGTGGTCTGCAAGGCCCAACCCCACCCGACAATCACCCTAACAGAGGCAGCGCGAGCGCTCCGACCATTGAGCGATTGCGTTCACGCCTCCATTCTCTATGGTGCGTCGGCGAACCTCTTCCTCTGACCTCGCCTCTTCGCACGGATTAACGGACTACTATAGGATTTTACAATTTACAACGTGTAGATGATAAAAAAAACACATTGCACACCTTAACAACATATTATAGGTAGAAATACAATTCCGTACCACAGTAATTAGTAATTTGTACTGTACACAGCATCATATGTTTCATCATATACTAGCACAAGTCGACCGTATACATATATGACGAGAGTATCTCGTAGCATGACGTGTCATCGATCAAGATGGCAGCTTGACGCTCACATAATGGTGTTGTACCTGGTCCCGTCGATGTTGACGGTGGCAAGCACGACGGCGACGCCGAAGAGGAGCACGATGACGGCGGTGAAGTTGACGAGCAGCGCCTCTGCACCGTACTTGGGCAGGCGCAGGGGCTGGCCCTGCATGAAGGTGAGCTTCTGGAGGAAGCCCAGCTGCGCGGTGCAGACGGCGAGCACGAAGATGAGGAGGCCGAAGACGGCGTGCCATGGCAGCGTTCTGCGGCTGGTGGCGGGGGAGGCGCCGGGGAAGAAGTAGGTGAGGAATCCGGCGGTCCACTGGAGCCCGTAGAGGGTGATGGCGGCGATGCCGACCCAGGAGTGGAGCGAGTAGAGGTTGGGGATGCCGCTCTCGACGTGGAACTTGAAGACGGCGTAGACGCCGAGGACCCCGGCGGCGAGGCCCGCGGCGTGCAGCGCCAGGTGCACCTTTTTCCTGGCGTCGCGCGCGAGCGGGAGAGAGCGGTAGCTGAGGATGGCTTCTCCGGCGAGGACGATGGGGCCGAGGACCATGAGCACGGGGTGGACGTTGAAGATGAGCGGCTTGTCCTGGGAGCGGAGGGCGAGGCCGCCGCGGAAGTGGATGCACCAGAGGAGCACCAGCACGATGGCGGCCACGGCCAGGACGTGCGCCACCAGCGTGCGCGCGTCCACCGCCGCCTTGTTGGACGCCGGAGCACCGCCCTTCATCAGGTCGGATTATGGATTATTGCAGCTCGTTGCGGTGGTCGGGTGGTGGCAATGGCACGTATGGCGTCCAGACTTCCAGAGCACACACAAGTGCATGAGTGGATCAACTAGGCAGGAATAGGAAGGATCGGATCGGAGCTCAAGGAAAAGGAAAGGAGAGAAGCAGTCAGCAAGCAGCTGCTCGATCATTAAAACTGCAGAAAGAGAAAGCAGGAGATGGCAGTTAAATGGGTGTGGACGTGGTTGCTCTCTCAGTCTCTCGGCCGCTATTACCGGTAACCAGCCAGCCACAAACCAAACCCAACTATGTCACCTTTTTCTTTTTCTGGGTTTCTCTTCCAAACAGAAATCTCTCCTTTTTTTTCCAAGTCTGTTCTTGGGTTCTGGTAGATTTCAAGTAGTGGTAGTTTAATTTAATGGGAGGTGATTAATTGAAAAAAAAACATTCTATAACACAACTGACAAATTTTTTATCACACAGCATACGCAAAGAATAATTAAGGCACCACTAGCGAGTTAAACGTACACCATCTATCTAGTTAATAATCATCGTCCAAGAAAAAAATCAGACATTTTTAGAATAGTAGCACCGACATATACCTTTGCCTTAGTCATTGTGACGACTCTTTAGTTGTCGCTTCAAAGCTACAAGTTAGCTTTTTAGGACAGGAGTACCCAAATCTATGTACTCTGTTCTTATTGTTCTAGATAATAATTTGGAGTCCTTTAAAAAAAAAACCTTATTGCTTCTCTGATTTCTTTCATTGCACTAATGCAAGAGCCGATCGAGCAGGAGATTCCTCAATAAAAAAAAGGAAAAAAAGACTTTCAAGTAAAATGAATAGTGGAAGCAGAAATTGTGGCGGCAAGCGTTTCATGCGTAACATCCGTCTTGCCGGCCACCAGCGGGTATCTTTTGTCCTGGTGAGCGGGGGAGTGACACGACTCAACTTGGGACGGGAAAAGCTTACTGCTGTGGTATAGACCTCTCTGCTTGACTTTGTAAGCCGCACTTATTTAGTCAACGAATAATATTTTTCTCTTACAACAAATCAGTCAACAATACTTTCAGCCATGTCTTATCAGCCAAACGAATAGAGCAATCATCCTAAAGTCGAGAACTCGATCCAAGTGCACATATCGATTGTCTATTTGGTATTTCTTCCTGACTCTACTTGAAGCTAAAACAAGAAAATTACACTATCCAGGTGGCTCCCCACGCATATATTATATGTTAGAAGGAGCTAAGCCAGGTGATCTCTAATCTACTTGACATGGATATAAACTGATCATAGGTGAGCAACTTCACCAGATTAAAAAAAAAACAATCCCCTACAATTATATTGTCTAAATGAGATTGAGAAAACATAGTTCCTGATTAAGGGGTTGTTTGGCGATGCTCCTTGGAGCAGATTCTCCTTGAAAATCACACTTTTTTTTAGCTAAATAGCAGACCTACCTACACATTTTGAGCAAGGAGCTAAAATAATCTGCCCTCACTGTTCCTTATTCAATTCCACCAGAATCACTTTAGAATTAATTCTCACCTGTTCTGCGCCCTGCTCACTCCACCAGAGAATCAAGGAGCTAGAGCTAAGATCAGAGAGTGGAGCTCTACCAAACAGGCCCCAAAAGAGGCTATGTGTTTTAACATATTGACAACAAATTACGTCCTCTATATTACCTTTCCTCCATTTCTTCTCTCTTTTACATATATACCCTACAGTGTAAATCTGATTTCAACAACATAAAAAATCCAAACTTTTCTTATTCTACCGCATACACGATTCAACAGCATTTCAATCCATAATTTTGAATTCTATTTTTAAATAAAGTTCAAAACAAAATATAGGTCTGAAATTCTGAATGCACAAAATAGTAACCCACATAAGCATGCAAAAATAAAGAGAAATCTATTGCCCATGGATTTGCCACCCATGCTTAACAAGGTCACCAGTGAAGTTGTTCATGTGTTGCACAATCTTTGATCTTTTGATGTACTTCCAAAAATTTCTTGATTCGGTCTTGATTCATCTCAGGCCTCATAGGTGTCCCCGTATATATAGTTATAGTTGAAGTCTTTCGATTGCCCTTGCTCATTCTCTATTATCATGTTGTGCATTATCACACATGTTGTCATGATGTGCCACAAAGTATTTTGGTCCCAAAATCTAGCAAGTCCACACACAACTTCAAGAATGATTGTTGGATCATGATAATGCCCTTTAAATTGTCCATGCCATGCTATAGGGCAATTCTTCCACTTCCAATGTATGCAGTCGATGCATCCAAGCATTCATAGGAACCCTTTTGGTTAACCAATTCCCATAAGCCTTGCAATGTCCTCTGTAGTCTGGTGCTCAGAAATATTCTTGTCCAAATACCTTAATTATAGTTTTCACAAATTTCCTGAAACTCAATATGGTGGTTCCCTCCGTAATTCGAAGTGAGTCATCAAGAGAATGAGCCGGGACACCATATGCCAGCATACGAAATGTTGTTGTAATCTTCTTCAAAACATTATGGCCAAAGTCCCCGATTGCATTGCGTTTGTACTTGAAGTATGAACAAGGGGATTTCATAGCATCCACAATGCGCAAAAACATTTCTATGGATACATGAGGACCTCTACAAAGTAATCCACCACCCACAAGCCTATCATGGCCTAGATGCTGCTTGTCCCGATGTACCATCTTATGCCACTACTAGGAATATCCACTTCTATGACGATCAACTTTCATCATTGAAGGAGCCAAATTCATCATAGTTTTAGTTTTATGATGAATTTATGACGAAAAACGGTTTGTCATAGAAGTCGCGTCACACTTGCACATCTATGATGAATATGACAAAATTGTCATAGAAGTGTCTTGATCTGTGATGAAAAATAGACCGTCATAGAACTGTTTTGACATTTGTGGCGGGGGCTGCCACGCTGGTGGGCGCTTCCCCTGGAGATGCTTTCCACGTGTACATCCTATAGCCCACGTATACATGCTATAGTCGGTTGCATTGGAGATGGTTCGGGTATGTGACACCTTCTTATTGCATAACGTGGCCATCTCTAGTTCTTGCACGTATCAGGTTCTTACTGGACCACGCGTTGGGTCCTAGTTGTTCCACATATCAGTTTTCTATTGGCACACGTGTGATGTTGCGGTTGGATCACGTATCACTTCTTCATTGGACCATGTGTCGTATTTTTATTGGTCCACGTGGCTGTTTCTTATTCGACCACGAGTCACGGCGTTGTCCATCCACGTTTCATATTTTTATTCGGCCACATGGCTTCACAACTTCCTTCCATGTGTCGGATTTTAATAGCCCAAGTGTCGAGTCCTGGCTATTGCACGTGTCATGTATTGGTTCGTCCATGTGTCGTATTTTTATTTGATCACGTGGTCTGTTCTAGTTCTACCGCGTGGAGTACAATCAATTCGTCATTGAAGTAATTCGAGATCATTACTATTGCATAAATTGACTACATAACTATTTAGCCTGGCAATCAAATAACAATAATTGCATTTGACACGTCAGTAGCGATCCACTGACAGAGTATCACTACATCAAACCAACATACGAGTCAACACATCAAACCACAAATATTCACTGCATAGCTCGTGGAGATTGTTGTACTCCTCTTGTTGCTGTTTCTTGTATTCATCAAGCTCCCTTTCAGTCTTTTCTGTCTTCCTCTTCAGTTTATCCACTTGATCGACGAGGGCAACAGAACTTTCCTGTTCAGCAGCAAGCTGTTCCAGAAGCGTTCTCTCCTTCGATGTCTCTATTCTAGTGGAGCTTGTCTGGATACCAACATTCTTCAAAAAACAGTTGTCGCTTCCCTAGGAGGGGGCCTTGCCCTGGTAGATGTAGAGGACCTTGCAAACAACATCAACACTAATCATTGGTTGTTGCCCATCAGTAATAGGTTCTGCTTGCATAGTTTCCATAGCTTCATACGAATTTAATCAGTAAAACATTAGGTTACAGATAGTGTAAGGGGACTTCAATTGAAAACCCAAGAGATTGATTTATAACAAGTAATGCATAGGTCTTTCTCAGCCTACTATTGATAGAGATTACATAAGCTTTAGTAGATTTCCATAACACTAGGCTCCTACTACGTTTCCTTCTTTTATGGCAATGGCTTCAGTAGATTTCAAGGGAAGCAAAAGAAGGTATTTACAATTGCTGCTCTTTCTACTGGCATGGAAGTCCCTGAAGAATTTCACAGCATTAACATCTTCATCAGGTGACCCATTTTCTTCTTCAAGTCCTTGATCGTGTTCTGCTGCCTTCCTCTTGTTCTCCTTCTGTTCACATTGCACATGATTTTTGCTTTATATTTATACAAAGGCAAGAGTAACAATAAAATACAACTATCACTTACAAATTTTTGCATCTGGACAATATAGGAGCGAGATCCTATAGCCTGGTGGTACTCCACTTTCGCACGGTTTCGCTTGTTCTTCTTAGATATTTCCTATAGCTTCATTTGTGCTAGACTGTAGCACAAGTAGACCACCGTGAAATCCACTATCCAAAGATAGCCTTCCACAGTGGCTCGCTATTTCTCTTCCCCGTGCGAAATTCTGCTATGCGCTCCCCTTCTCGCGCCGTGGGAGAATTGTTTCCCACGTGCTGCAGCACGACACCATCTCTGTACCCTCCCTCGTCCACGCAGCTACCTTTAGATGGCCCTTCACCTCCGTCCCCCATCTGTGCGGTTCCCTGCGTCCCTTGCCCCGTCCGTGCGCCTCCGAACGGGCCTTCCCCGTCGACGTGTCTCCCTCGAACGACCACTACCCGATCTGTGTGTCTCCGGACAATCCTTCTCCATTGACGAGGCTCCCTCAGTTGACCCTCCCCGTATGCGCCGTCACCACAGCTATGTACCACGTCCTTGCCCTTGTGCTCGTCGGTGTGCCTAGTCTCAGACACTCGTTCCCGACACGCGCGGCAGGCAGCCGCCCCTTCTCCGGCCCTTGCATGTCTCTAAT